GTTCCTCCAACACAGCTGCCTTCAGCTTCCAGCCTCTGGTTCTCCCTGTATGTTTTTCAGCTCACACAATGCCCCATATGTCCAAGATTTGAAGACTGTGCCTCTTGCTCAATCCAGCTGAAGCTGATGGCTGGCTGAGCAAGAGGCTGAGCTGTCCAACCAACCTCCCTCTTGCAGCTCAGCTGTCCAGAAAGGCACAGACTGCAGAGCTCTGCAGTGTATCCTGAAGTAATGAAGACTGTGATTCAAAAGGAGATGGGTTTAGAACTTGAGCTTTATACAAATCTCCTTCTCCATCCTTACAATAATGGTAAGGTCTGGGTACAGCTGGCCAGGAGAAGGGTGAGGGCACATCTGTGTGAACATTTTTGAGGAGGACATCTCAGGCTCCACTTCAGCTGGAGCCAGACGTTGCCTTTCTGTGACCACCCACCTCTCCACCAGCCCCCCTCTGCTCTGCCAGGATAGCACCACTATTAAAAGTGGTTATGATCCAACATTTCCAGATGAATTCATCAACTTAAGTAGGACTTCAACAAAGCTTTAAACATTAATAGGAAAGCCTGAACATACGAATTCCTTGCTATTCCAGAAGATGCCTTCAAGGACAATTACCAGAGAAACAACAACCTAATTAAAAAGATGAGCTTTATTACACAGCTAAAGCCTGCTCAGTATCACTGATGAGAAGTTTTCATATGTTGGGCACTGTGGTGTAACAGAATTATTCCTTTATACTTCAAAGTGATTAGATACATTTATCTTTAAAGTTTACCAGATCTACATAGTAATAAACCCAGGATTATCTTAGGAAATTAGGGCTTTTAAAATTTCTTGCAGCTGTGCTCCTAAAATCCATCATAAACCATCAGCAGAGACTATCCAAGTGGCTGCAGGACAGCTTTGTGCTTAACTGCTGCATTCAGCTGCAAACAGCTTCTACTACAATAGCCTCTGCTGGTTTACATGTGTGTGTGGATCTTCCCTTTTAAGGTGAAATTTGGGAAAGCTGTGTGGAAAAAACTAAGATCAGTTCTGTGATTACCAGATATAAACCATGACATGGCCAAGATAAATGGTACAAGAACTTATAAGACTGGTTTTCTAAAGCAAATAGTTTGCATGCTCACACTGCTTCTAGGTATTAGTGAAAGGCTTCATCACCTTATCTGCCACAACACAAAAGTACCTCTAAAAACTGCTGGCAAAAAGAGCAAGAAACATGGAATTGTTAGAATGAAGTTGGCTGATCTGATGGACAGTGAATACTGAGAGAAAGAATTGATTTCCCATCCTATCAACAAGCTAATCCCACTCCATCATCTCACCACTGCTGGAGGGAGCATGAGGGAAAGGAAAGACCCTGCTGGGGACAGGACCAGGGCCCACAGACTCTTCTCGGAGGCAGCCCCTGAGATAAGCTCTGAGAGCACACTTTCGATCTCAACTTCCTCCTATCCCAAAGCTTTCTAACAATTTCCACCTGCACACAGAACAGAATCAGAATTCCCATTGTGTTTAACTGCAGCTGGCAAACCATCAGCTCTTCCCTAACAGAAAAGACCATTTCCCAGAAATGAAATGGAAATAGACCAGGAAAACACCTTCATAAAACACACTCTCAAGTTCAGGCTTCTCCTGCTCAACAGGATCACCTCTAAGGAGCAGACAGATTATACAGAGTGCACTGAAACTCATTTTCATTGTTAGAAACAGCATTTTCTTGTCAAGACTGAGGCCAGACAAGATGATGTGATGAAGTTACTGTGCTGTTCTTTCAACTGGAGTTTCATCTAAATTAAATTACACCAAAAAAGGGTTAGTCTTGTTAATTCTCCATCTTTATGTTCTGCTTGAAAGGATGAGTGATTAGTTAAGGTTGTAACCTCAGCCTGTGTTCAGCCAGGATGGGAACATCTTAAGTACCTTTCATTTCTGATGTGCCTCTGCTCTAAATGTTGTACATAATTAAGACTGGCAATAACCATCTGTTTGCAGTGATTCTAAACAAAAAAGATGATGTAAATAAAGGATCAGTCAAATTCACCTGTATTTAAATTAAGTTGGACTTACAGCAAGGAAAAATCAAAATAGGAGGGGAAAAAAGGAAAAAGTACGTACCCAAGTGGTTCACTGCTCCCTGCCCACCTCCTGAATTTCACTTATTTCAGTATCAATATCACATTGAGTTGACCCTCAGGCTCAAAACCCTTCACCCCCTGTGGCACCGCTGCCCTCTGCATTTTAGACAGGAACCCTGAGGTTTTGACACCGAAGATTAGAAACTCTGAGGATGAAATAGAGAGTCACAGCCTGGTTTGGGTTGAAGGGACCTTCAAGCTCCTCCAGCTCCAACCCCTGCCATGGGCAGGGACACCTTCCACTAGAGCAGGTTGCTCCAAGCCCCTGTGTCCAACCTGGCCTTGAACACTGCCAGGGATGGGGCAGCCACAGCTTCTCTGGGCACCCTGTGCCCGCACCTCGGCACCCTCACAGGGCAGAGCTTCTGCCTCAGAGCTCATCTCAGCCTCCCCTCTGGCAGGTTAAAGCCATTCCCCTTTGCTTGTCCCTCCAGGCCCTTGTCCAAAGCCCCTCTCCAGGTTTCCTGGAGCCCCTTTAGGCACTGGAGCTGCTCTCAGGTCTCCCATCAAGGAGCCTTCTCTTGTCCAGCTGAACCAGCCACGCTCGCTCAGCCTGGCTCCAGAGCAGAGCTGCTCCAGCCCTCGCAGCAGCTCTGGGACCTCACTCCAACAGCTCCATGTCCCTCTTGTGCTGTTGCCCCAGAGCTGGTGTAGGACTGCAGGGGGGGTCTCGTGCTTAAGAATCACTGATAACCACTGAACCCACCCTCAAACGGCAGCTCGTCTCACCAAAGTAATACCATTTAGCTTACCAAAGAATGAGAGGGAATAAACCAGTCCTCTTTGTCCCAGAAAGTTTCAAGCTATGCTCTTCTGATACTTCACATTGGCAACTGCAAATAAAAAGACAGTGTTTTAAAACATGAACCTTCACCTGAAAAAACACACTTGTTAAATAGCCAGCAACTTCTACAAGAACTTCAACTGCTATGTTAGCTTGTCTTCTTTAAATAGTAAAAAGTACTGTGTAAGGGGTAACTGCTGAGAGCTTCATATGCCCGAAGAGGGAATTCCACGACTGGAGCTGTCAGGTACATGTGTGCTGGCTGAGGCCTCCTTTCTGCTACAGGCCAGGTCAGAAATCATGGCCACAGAGCAATTCAAGTTTGATTTAAACTTCTTTGGTGCACAGAAGTGAAAAATAACCCAATCCTTAGCAATACAAGTGAGAGGAGAGCTCTCTCAGAGAAGATCCAGCTGCTTTTGTACTCATCTTCACAAGTGGGTTTTACTTTTACACCACAAGCAGCTTCCCCACTGAAATGGGCTGCCCCGAGACCATAGACACAGAGCTCCAGAAGTGGGCACAGCACAAGTACTGCTGCACAAACTGCAGCCAAGCCAAGGAGAGCAGCAATGTCCTCATGGAACCAGCACTCCCGAGCCCCGTCTCTTCACCTCCCGAGTGCTCTACAGCCACTGCCTCAAAAAGAAGTGTCAGCATCGTGTGGCAACCACAGATTTGTCAGAAAGTGATCTGGAGAAAAGCTCAGATTTGCTTTATTCCCATGGAATCACTTCAGTGGGTGGCCACAGCCTCCTATAGCATCAGGACACAACGTTCCATACTAAAATACCCAAACCCTGAAATTACGTGTTCCAGACTAAACCCAACCATTCCTTAAGCATGGAAGCAGCCAAGCTGAAGGAATTCCACTCCCTTGTATCCCGTGTGCCAGAGGATTTGCTCTTCACAATACCTTGGAGCTCTCCCAAGAGCATGCTGCATGCGTATGTGCCTGGAAAGCCTAACCGTATAAACACAGGATCCTGCTGCTACAAAGGCTTTGCTCCTACTCTGATGGGCCACAACTAGTGGGAATTTCACATTCAGGTCCATTAATAGAACATAAATCTCTATTTTGGAGCTCTCTTGTCCTTTAGGGCTTACGATAGGAAAAAAAAAATACAGTATGTACAAAAGGATATATAATTTTAGGACT